GGCTGGCTCAGGAATTCTGGGGGTTGAAGTCCACGAGTCAGAAAAGAGCCGAGGTTGCCTATCCCTGTCCTGGACTATGGAATGGAAGCGACATGGATTCAGTATGAGAAAGGGGCCAACTAATTGGGCTTGATTGGCTGATGCTTCAGGGCAGGCATCCCCAACCCTCAGTCAGCAACTGGCATGTCAGCAACTGGCATATCAGCATATCAGCAAACAAGCCAAGTCCCATCCATGGGATGCAAGTAGCATGAGATACCACACCCCCTCCGGTCCGCGGAAAAACCTCTCTCCACAGAACCGGTCCCTGGTGCCCAGAAGGTTGGGGACTTCTGCCTTAGAGTACAGAATAACTGACTTGGAAGGGACCTTAGAGGTCTTCTAGTCCAGCAGCTCCCAACCTTTTCTGGAATGCTTCTGATATATTCTCGCACCTCTTACAAAAGTTTGAAATAATAGCAACGAATTAGGCATATACACTATAATTTTGAAAACCCAAGTTTTCACACCCCCTGGAATATCGTCTCGCACCCACAATTGGGAACCCCTGCTCTAGTCCAACCCCCTGCTCAGGCAGGAAACCCTATACCAGTGGTTCTCAACCTGTGGGTGGGGACCCCATTTGGGGTCGAACGACCATTTCACGGGGGTCGCCAAACAATGCAGTCCGCCATTTTTTCCCCCCTTTTCTTAGCTGTGCTACTCCCTTTTATTCTATTGGCTTTTGAAAGCCAATAGAATAGACTCTCTTAGAATAGACTCTCTTGAATAGAGTCTAATTCTATTGGCTTTCAAAAGCGAATAGGAATTGTCCAGGCTGTCTCTGCCCTGCTGAGCCCGCCAAAAGTCCCATTCTGCAAACGGTGCTGCACCAGTTGAGTAGTCCTCGACTTATGACCGGTTGAGTAGTCCTCAACTTACGACCGGTTGGGGGTCGCAGTATTAAAAAGGTTGAGAACCACTGCCCTATACTAAGGGCATCAAACTCGCAACAGTCATGTGAGGTGTGACGACGTAGCGCGACTTTTTTTCCATTGCTGGCAATGGGGCGGGCGCGGTTTTGGCACGACGCATCCTATACCATTTCAGACAAATGGCTGTCCAGTCTGTTCTTGAAAATCTCCAGTGTTGGAGCACCCACAACTTCTGAAGGCAAATGGTCCTACTAATTAATCCACTGATTAATTGATAGAGTAACAGAATAAGAGAATTGGAAGGGAGCTTGAAGGTCTTCTCGTTCTGCTTGAATAAGAGACCCTATATCATTTTGGACAAATGACTGTCCAACTTCTTCTTAAAAACCTCCAGTGTTGGAACAGTCACAACTTCCAGAGGCAATTTGCTCCACTGTTCTAACTGTCAGAAAATTTCTCCTTACTTCTAGGTTAGTTGCTTGATGTGTTTCTGGTCCAACTGCTTGCTCAAGCTGGACACCTCTACCATTCCAGATGTATCCAGCTTTCTTTCTTTCTTTCCTTCTTTCTTTCTTTCTTTCTTTCTTTCTTTCTTTCTTTCTTTCTTTCTTTCTTTCTTTCTTTCTTTCCTTTCTTTCTCTCTCTTTCTTTTTCTTTCTCCTTCCTTTCTTTTCCTTCCTTCCTTCCTCTCCCTCCCACCCTCCCTCCCTCTCTCACTAACACACACACACACACACACAGAGAGAGAGAGAGAGAGAGAGAGAGAAAGGCAGACACAGGAGATTCCCTGGCTGAGTTTTGCCCTCCCCCTTTGTGCATTCATACAAACACTGTTTTCTCTCTGGAGGGGAGGGGTCATCTTAGTGCACCCAGTCACTTGAGGGTGAAGGTCCTAGACTGCCCCCACCACCACCCCACACGTTCTTAGCAAAGGGGGACCTTTAGCAAGGAATGATTTAAGGTGGTGTGAACATACAAGGCCTGGGTATAACACCGAATTGCTTAAACCTTCTCCTCTCTAGTTTGGACGTGGGGCACCTGTCTCTCCTTCTCCCCCCCCCCCCCCGGTCCTGTCCAAAGTTGAGGTTTGATCTTTCATCCGGGGAAAAGCTTTCGGTCTTCCTCCCCAAGAGGCCCCCCAGACCTGGGAATTACTGAGCCTGTAGTACAGGAGCAGCGCAGCTATTCCCTCACATCTCTAGTGGAGGGGGGGGGGAGCAAATTGCAGAGAAAGGAGGATCTCCACCCCGCCCCCAGCAATCGGAAGCGCTTTTCGCTTATGGGAAAGGCCGGTTGAAGCCGAGGCGGCAGAGTCGGCGGTGGCGGCGGGCAGGGACAGCGGCTGAGTAGCGTCCGAAGCGGTGGGGCTGCAACCTGTATTTTCATCTCGCCTGGAGCCGCTGCCGACTCGGAAGGAGGACGCCGGGCTTGGCGAAGAGATGCAATGGGGGGGGGGGGAGATGCAATGTGTGTGTGTGTGTGTGTGTGTGTGTGACAAGCATGTGGGTCTGGGAAGGGGCCCAAGGGGCCCAGCGGCAGCATTTTAGCCTCCCTCCCTTTGCAAACAGCCCTTCTCTGAAGGCAGAGAGAAGCTGAATCAGACCCGGAAGGGCAGGCGGGTGGGGGCAGCCAGGCGCAACTGGGAGGGGGGAGAGTCCGTCCAGAGAAGGGGGCTCGGCCCATCTGGTCCGGGGAAGGCTGCCTGCCCCACCCTACACCCGCCCTTCAACCTGGGACCTTTCCCTGCTCCTCAGTCCCAGTGAACTGCCCCTGGGGTGTGTGTGTGTGTCCCTGCCTCTGCTTCCCTGCCCCCTAAGTCGAGGGCTGGGGACGGAAGGCCCCACTTCCACTTGTGTTCCCGATGCAGGCGGCGGTTCTGAAGGAGGGGGGGGGTTGAAGGCTAGAAAGCAAGAGACTAATTTAAGACACCTGCCCTGAGAAACCCCAAAGATCCCCATGGCCCAGGTGCAAAATGTGAGCAATTTTGGCCAGATGAAAGGGGCTGCTTAAATCAGCCTCACGTGTCCCCTCTCCCCCCCTCCATGGCTCCTGACCTTCCTCTCTGCAAGCAGAACAACGCTTGCTGATTTGTGGGAGGAGACTGTTTACAACCCAAACCAACCTTTGGGTCAGGAAACAACAGGGTCATGAGAAGGGAAGGAATGTTGTACTTTCATCTGTTGCATCGTTTGGGGATGATGCTGTGATGCACTCGGCATCGCCCTGGTGCAATGAATGGAAATGACAACATTCCTTCCATTTGTCTACGGCAGGGGTAGACAACCTTGGTTCTTTTATGCAGTAATTTTTTTCTAAAAAAAAAAAAAATAGGTGCGGGAACTCACACACGTCATACAACCCGCCTTGCCTACCCTACAAGGTTCTATCCAAAAAAGGTGCCGGAACTCCGTTCTGGGCGTTCTATGAGAAAAAAAGCCCTGCTTTTATGACTCGTGGACTTCAACTCCCAGAATTCCTGAGCCAGCATGGCTCAGCTTGGAAACCTCTCCCTTTCCTCTCAGCGTGGCTGGCTCAGGAATTCTGGGAGTTCAAGTCCATGAGTCATAAAAAAGCCAAGGTTGCCTACCCCTGGTCTATGGAGATTCTCAGCCATCCAGATCATGGTTGTCCCACAAGTGCTTTTCTTGTTTTTCTTTGAAGATGTTTTGCTTCTCATCCAAGAAGCTTCTTCAGCTCTGACTGGGTGGTGGGGAACGGCAGGATTTATACTCCTTGCAGACAGCGGGTCAGTTGCCTCCCTTTAGAGCAGGGGTCTTCAAACTTGGCCCTTTTATGACTCATGGACTTCAACTCCCAGAATACCTCAACCAGGCACGCTGGCTGAGGAATTCTGGGAGTTGAAGTCCATGAGTCATAAAAGGGCCAAGTTTGAAGACCCCCTGCTTTAGAGAGTCCACAATGACCAGCTGTCTGCAAGGAGTATAAATCCTTCATCACCACCCAGTCAAAGTACCAGATTGAAGTCCTTGACTTACATCCTACTAATGAGCCCCCAAATTTCCATTGCTAAACGGGGCAGCTGTTATGTGAGTTTTGCCCCATTTTATGACCTTTCTTGCCCCCGTTGTTAAGTGAATCACTGCAGTTGTTAAGTGCATCACATGGTCATTAAGCAAATCCGCTTCCCCATTGCTTTTCAGAAGGTAGCAAAAGATGACCCCGGGATACTGCAACCGTCACAAATACGAGTCAGTTGCCAAGCTGTCTGAACTTATATCATGTGACCGTGGGGGTGCTGCAAGTGCGAAAAACGGTCCTAAGTCACTTTTTTTCCAGTGCCGTTGTAACTTCAAACGGTCACTAAATGAATGGCTGTAAGTCGAGGACCGCCTGTTGGTGCTAGCCAGACGAACCTGGATGCTTTTTAAAAAAGCGTTTCAATTGGAAGAAGAAATTTTTGCCTACTTTGCAGGAATGGTTTCTTAAAGTTTCTCACTTATCTGAAATGGCAAAAATTTCGGCTTTTTTGAAAGATCAATCGCAAGAGAAGTACCTCTTGGTGTGGAAAAGATGGATAAATTTTATACAATATAAGTATGATATAAGAAAATATCATTTAGCTTTTGAATAATTTATATTTAAAGTTTAAGATATTATTTAGAAATGTAGAATAGGTTTTTTTCTTTTTATTATTTTTCTTATTTTCTTTCTTTTCTTCTTTTTCTCTTTCTGTTTTTTATATATAATGGAGTTAAAGTACTTAACAATTTGTTTATTGAATGTAATCATATTTGTTTGAGGTTTATTTGAGTTTAAAAGTTTTTTCTTTTAAGTTCTAGTTAACCCTGTATTCAGCTCTGGGAAGAATGAGGGAGGGTTTTGGAGTGGGTTGGGAGGGATTGGGAAAGGGGTTTTTATTGTAAAATTGTAAAAATTTTTATATATATATATATAAAAGCGTTTCAATTGGTAGGAAGCCCCTTGTCGTCACCATTGTTGAATACCCACCAAGATGCCCCATGGTGCAAGCAAAGTGCTGGGGGGCCCACATGCGTTCTGCCAAGCCTCTGGCTCTTTGCCTCCCCCCTACCTTAAAAGGAAAGCCGGGGGTGGGGGGACACTCACGTGCTGCCACTGGTCAATGATGAGCGGTCGGTATCTCAAGAAGAATTTGAGAGGGAAGGACTCCGGATCCGGCCAGGAAGAAGGATACTGCCAGGTCACCAGCAGCCTCCGGGCGTTGTTGGGGATCGGTTTTGCGATCACATTTTCGGGAGGATCTGGTTTCACTGTTCAAGGAAGCGAAAGAGGAGAATTAAGATGTGGCGAGAGATTCTGGTGCATCCCTTAGAGCAGGGGTGCCCAGCCTTGGCAACCGGAAGACCTGTGGACTTCAACTCCCAGAATCCCCCAAACCCAGGCAGCATCAGGGATTGCACAGCCCAACCTTGAGCTGAAGAAGGGTTGCAGGAATTGGACATATCTAGTCTAGTGAAAAGAAGGACCAGGGGGGACATGATAGCAGTCTTCCAATATCTCAGGGGCTGCCACAAAGAAGAGGGAGTCAAGCTATTCTCCAAAGCACTGGAAGGCAGGACAAGAAGCAACGGATGGAAACTAGTCAAGGAGAGAAGCAACCTACAATTAAGGAGAAACTTCCTGACAGAACAATTAACCAGTGGAACAACCTGCCTCCAGAAGCTGTGAATGCTCCAACACTGGAGGTTTTCAAGAAGAAATTGGACAACTACCTGACTGAAATGGCATAGGGCAGTGATGGCAAACCTTTTAGTGAGCGAGTGCCCAAACTGCAACCCAAAACCCACTTATTTATCGCTGGGTGCCAGGTGGGCGTGGCCCACTGGATGGGCATGGCTGTGGTCATGGAAGACTGGGTGGGTGTGGCCAAGGTGGGCGTGGTCACCTCGATGTTGCTCGTGGGGAGGGATGCCTGTGGGGGCCGGGCAGGGTTGGGGGACATCCAGCGGTCTCTGGCAGGTGGGGCAGTGGGCAGGAGGTTCATCCTGAGGGGTGAGGCAAGGCAAGGCGAGGCAGGGTGAGGGTGCCATTGTCAAAGGGCAAGGCGAAGCAGGGGCCGGGGCAGCTGCTGCCTGACACCATCGGCCTCCGCACACAGAGGCCAGCGAGCGCATGGGGGCCGACAGTGTCCGTCAGCAGCCACAGCCGGCCAACCCATTGACCGGCGCACTCTGGGGCTCCGCAGCCCGCCTCCAGCAGTTCAGAGAAGCCACATCTGAGCTGGACGGCCGGCCGACAGCTGAGGAGGCAATGTAGTGTCCGACAGCTGAGGAGGCGATGCAGTGGGTCGTGCCCGGGAAAAGGAGAGCATGCGAGGCCAGGAGGGATGGGAAGGGGGGAGGGAAACCAGCCATGCTAGGATGCACCCGGCCACGTGGGACCTCGGCGAGTTAGCGGGCGGCTGGTTGAAGAAGGACAGTTGCCATCTCCAGGACATGGTGCGTGTGCCCACAGAGAGGGCTCCAAGTGCCGCCTCTGGCGCGCATGCCATAGGTTCGCCCCCACTGGTATAGGGTCTCCTGCTTGAACAGGGGATTGGTCTAGAAGACCTCCAAGGTCCCTTCCAACTCTGTTTTTATTCTGAGCTACAAAAATTCTGTTCTCTCCGTTTCTTGGGTCCATCAGGTTGAGGGTGTTGTAGAATTCCAGACTCTCTTTGTGGCTGTGCAGACTGACAGGGTCTGGCCCAGAGGCCAATTTAGAGAGAGCCCCATTGTGCTGTCCCCACAGCAGTTGAACCTCCAAGATGCCCAGATATCTCCCTTGGCATATTTTAGCTCATCATCTGCACATCACTTGACACAACAGCAGCAGCAATAGCATCTGCCCCGGATGGCTTTTGATGTGGAGAATAATTAACACCGTCAGGATGTTACATTTTTAATGCCGGGTGTTTGCTTTCTGTAATTTGCCCAGGGCGCCCATTAGTAAACCTGGGGCTGGAGAATTCCCTTTCTGTCTCCTGCTGCATTTGCATCAAGAACGCAAACACCATCTGTCAAGCTGCGTTCGCCTTTATCGTGGTGACACCATAGCCCAGGATCCAGCAAGAGGCCTTACACCAGTGGTTCTCAACCTTTTTAATGCCGCGACCCCCAATTGGTCGTAAGTCGAGGACTAGTCAACTGATCGTAAGTCGAGGACTACTCAATTGGTGCAGAACCGTTTGCAGAATGGGACTTTTGCCGGGCTCAGCAGGGCAGAGACAGCCTGGACAATTCCTAATGGCTTTTGAAAGCCAATAGAATTAGACTTTATTCAAGAGAGTCTATTCTATTGGCTTTCAAAAGCCAATAGAATAAAAGGGAGTAGCACAGCTAAGGAAAAGGGGGAAAAAATGGCAGCCTGCGTTGTTTGGTGACCCCTGTGAAATGGTCGTTCGACCCCAAATGGGGTCCCGACCCACAGGTTGAGAACCACTGCCTTACACAAACTTCCTGCCAGCCACAGTCACACTTGCAAAGCCTTCCCAAACGTCCCAAACACAACGCCCGAAGTTGTGGGTGCTCTATCACTGGAGATTTTAAAGAAGAAATTGGACAGCCATTTGTCTGGAATGGTATAGGGCAGGGGTCCCCAATCCTTGGTCTGTGGACTAGTATCGGGTCGCGGCATGCCAGCAACCCGGTCCGCACAAACAAGCAAAGCCCCATCCGTGGGATGCAGGCAGCACACAAAACCACGCATCATCTGGTCTATGGAAAAACCTCTCTCCACGGAACTGGTCCCTGGTGCCCAAAAGGTTGGGACCTCTGATGTAGGGTCTCCTGCACGAGCAGAAGGTTAGACTAGAAGACTTCCAAGGTCCCTTCCCACTGTCATTCTGTTATTGTATGTAATGGGTCCTTGACAGACCCTTGACCTGATAACTTCTTGGAAGCCTGTCCCTGATCCCCCTTTTCTGGGCTTTGCTGGTGGTGTCAACTGGCTCAGATTTATGACGGTTGCAGAATCCTGGAGCCCCCAGAGAAATGTTGGGCTCAATTGCAGTCGTAAGTTGAGGACTACCTGTGTCCAGCACCTGGCCATTTCAGCTCAGGCCTCCCCCACTCCCACCCCAGACCCCCTGCATCCCAAGGTGTCATTAAGTGAGCCATTTCCCCGGGACAGAGATGGGACTTCAGCAGACCTGTGCAGAGAGATGCAGCAAAAATGCCAAGGGACCCCGCCTCTTCCTGCTGCAATTTAGAATGGAAATGGGGCACGATTCCTCCTCGCAATTGTGGGCTAATTGCTGGTGGAGGGCAGATCTAAAAACCATGTCCCCTCTTTGCCACTTGGCTGGTAGGTTGGTATGTTTTCTTCGGATGTGCTGTGAGGCAGGGAGCTTCCCACTGGAGAAATCAGAAGGGAACTGGCTGGAAGGGGGTTGCTCATCCCAGCCCCCTCTAAAAGGATCTCAAAATAACAGAATAAGAGAGCTGGAAGGGACCTTGGAGGTCTTCAAGTCCAGCCCCCTGCTCAAGCATGAGACCTACACCAGGGATAGGCAGAATTCCTGAGCCAGCATGGCTCAGCTTGGAAACCTCTCCCTTTCCCCTCAGCATGGCTGGCTCAGGAATTCTGGGAGTTGAAGTCCACGAGTCATAAAAGAGCCAAGGTTGCCTATCCCTGCCCTACACCATTCCAGACAAATAGCTGTCCAGTCTCTTCTAGAAAATCTCCAGTATTGGAGCAACCACAACTTCTGAAGTTTATGATTCACATAATAACAAAGTTGGAAGGGATCTTGGAGGTCTTCTAATCCAATCTCACCACTTTCTGAAGGCAAGCTGTTCCACTGGTTCATTGTTCTGATTGCCAGGACTTTTCTCCGTAGTTCCAGGTTGCTTCTCTTCTTGATTAATTTCCATTTGTTGCTTCTTGTTCTGCCTCTCATTGCTTTGGAAAATAGATTGACCCCCTTTATGGCAGCCCCTCAAATGTTGGAAGACTGTTGTCACGAAATGAATTGAATTTCATATGAAATAAAGGAAGACTTCCAAGCCTGTTTTAGGTGCAGCGTACGCCTGGCTGAGCACTGTGATGCAGCTTTCCCTTTTCGCCAGTTTGTGCAGGCAGAAGTAGCTAAGCTCTCCTGTCTGGTAATAAATTCTCTCCCAGGACTAACCCACCCCAAGAGGCTTCTTAGTCCTCCCTGGAGTGGCTTGTTGCTTGGAAAAGAAGGGATTCTCTCATGATTTCCTCTTGTCCTGTGAGACACGATGGGGGAGCATCTCCTTCTTCCAAAGACTGCAACCATTAAATCGTGCTTTTCCTCACCTCTCCCCAGTTTTGTTGCTGCTCTTTAAGGATTTTTCAGTTCTGAAGTCCTCAGGGCCCCTTCCTTGAGCTCTTAGAATAGATTAGATTAGAGTAGAATAAGAGTTAAAAGGGACCTTGGAGGTCATCTAGTCCAACCCCCTGCTCAAGCAGGACACCCTATACCAGACATGTCAAACACAAGGCCCAGGGGCCAGATGCGGCCGCGAAGTAGTTTCATGGGGCCCACGAAACCATCCTGGAAACAGTGAGGGAACGGCCCCCGCTGCCTTGGCCCTAGCTCAGGCCAGCAGGGAGCCAATGTACAATTTTATGGTGGCCATCTTGGCACTTGCCCCGGTGGACCATGCCTTGGTACTTGCCCCAGTCCCACCCCCTTCTGCCAAAGACCCTCAGATTTGTCCCACTCCTTCCCAGGCCCCTACAAGCACCCTTGACGCGAATGATGTAGAACTGGCCACGCCCACCCAGTAGGCCACACCCACCTGCCCCCCCAGGGCAACCGCAATGCTGATGTGCCCCTCAATGAAATTGAGTTTGACATCTCTGCCCTATACCATTTCAAACAAACAGTTGTCCAGTCTCTTCTTAAAAACTTCCAGTGTGAAGTACCCACAACTTCTGGAGGCAGGTTGTTCCACTGATTAATTGTTCTAACTGTCAGGTCCTGGGGTGGGAGGGAAGGAAAGCCAATGAAGTCCCAGGCGGTATTAACAGGGATAGAATCGAGATCACTTGAAGTGTTAATACCACTTTACAAGGCCTTGGTAAGCCACACTTGGAATACTGCATCCAGTTTTGGTTGCCACCAGAGTAAAAGATGTTCAGACTCTGGAAAGAGTGCAGAGAAGAACAAGAAAGATGATTAGGAGACTGGAGGTTAAAACATATAAAGAATGGTTGCAGGAATTGGGTATGTCTAGTTTAATGAAAAGAAGGACATGGGGAGACATGATAGTTGTGTTCCAATATTTGAGGGGCTGCCACAAAAAAGAGGAGACCAACCTATTCTCCAAAGCCTCAGAAGGCAAGAAAAAAAAAATGGATGGAAACTGAACAAAGAGAGAAGCAAGCTACAACTAAGGAGAAATTTCCTGACAGCGAGAACAATTAACCAGGGAACTACTTGTCTCCAGAAGTTGTGGGTGCTCCAACATGAGAGGTCTTTAAGAATAGACAGCCACTTGTCTGGAATGGTATAGGGATTCCTGCCTGAGCAAGGGGTTGGACTAGATGAACTCCAAGGTCCCTTCTAGCTCTGTTATTCTGCATTCTATTCTGAAATGGGGCAGGGGATGCCCGTTGCACTTACCTATTGCGAACTCGTCAAAGACGATGGCGGTGGAGCTGCTGCCCAGGGCGTTGGTGACGGTGAGGATCACCCTGTACTTTTTGGTGGAGAAGAGGTGGGGGTAGCGGATGTAACACCTGTTTTTGGGCCCCGTGTCCTTCTCACAGACGATCTCCTGGGAGTCGTGTCTGGGGGAGGGGGGCAAGAAAAAGACGTCAGGGTGACATACGCATACAAAAGAGGGGCACAATTGCCACCCCCAATCGAATGGCTGCTCTCTGGACTGTTTACACCCCCTTGTGGACCCCCCTGCAGGACCCCCCCATATCAGACATCTCGGTGCTCCCTCCAGCATTGGCAACCCTCTACTGCACCCCCCCGGCCCACTCCTCCTGGGGTAAAGGGACTTATGCCCTTCTGATATGGGTCTAGGGCAGGGGTCTTCAAACTTGGCCCTATTATGACTTGTGGGCTTCAACTCCCAGAATTCCTCAGCCAGGCAAGTTGGCTGAGGAATTGTGGGAGTTGAAGTCCAGAAGTCATAAAAGGGCCACGTTTGAAGACCCCTGGTCTAAGGTATCTGAGATACCAACGCACCCCAATGGGATTGGCTCCTCCCACTCGGTCTGGCAGAAGGGGGCCTCCTGCAGATCCCATTGGTCAGGAATTTTGGCTAGCTGGGTCCAGGAGAAGAGCCTCCTCTGCTTTGGCCACCACCCTCTGGAACACCATGCCGCCGAAGGTGAGATCCGCCCCCCTCTTTGGACTTCTGGAAGGTTCTCAAATCTTGCCTCTGCCAACTGGCCTGAGGTCCGGATGTGGGTGTCCCATTCTGGAGACAGCTACTGGCCCTAGGACAGTGGTGGCGAACCTTTTAGAGACCGAGTGCCCAAACTGCAACCCAAAACCCACTTATGCATCGTCGGGTGCTGGGTGGGTGTGGCCCATTGGCTGGGTGTGGCCCATTGAGTGGGCATGGCCCATTGAGTGGGCGTGGCTGCGGTGGTAATGGCAGACTGGGTGGGACTAAAAAGTTCAATCAGTCAATTCCAACTTTGCAAGATCTTTTTTTCCCCCCCCCCCGAGAAGTTGAAATTGACCGATCTGCAGGAGGCCCCCTTCTGCCAGACTGATTGAACCTGTTTTTTTTTTTTTTTTTTGCACACGGTGGCGGAGGCCTAAAGCGAAAAGGTTTTATAAAAGCCAGCTGAAGGCCTAGGACTGGGGTGACGGCACGCGTGCCCACAGAGAGGGCTCTGCGTGCCGCCTCTGGCACCCGTGCCATAGGTTCGCCATCACTGCCCTAGGAAGAAAGTCGAACCCCCACCCCATAGTATCCTGGCTTCTTAACTTATTTAATCCCTGTTTATTTAATGTTTAATGTTTTAATGTTTTGTGCCTCTGTTCTTTTGCTGTTTGCAAGCATTTTCAGAACTTGGTAACTGTATTTATGTATGTATGTATGTATGTATGTATGTATGTATGTATGTATGTATGTATTTACTTACTTACTTACTTATCTACTTAATTTTATTTATTTATATTAGTTTTACAAATAACTCAAGGCGGCAAACATATTCAAGATCAGGGGTAGTCAACCTTGGCTCTTTTATGACTCGTGGACTTCAACTCCCAGAATTCCTGAGCCAGCTATGCTGGCTCAGGAATTCTGGGAGTTGAAGTCCACGAGTCATAAAAGAACCAAGGTTGACTACTCCTGTTCAAGATGCTTCCTCCTCGTATTTTCTCCTCAACAGCAACCCTGTGAGGTGGGCTGGGCCGAGAGAGAATAACTAGCCTGAAATTGCCCAGCTGGTTTTCATTCTTAAGGCAGGACGGGGGAATTGTGGGAGTTGAAGTCCACCCATCTTCAAGCTGCCTTTCCTGAGGCACAGCTTGTAACGCGAACTCAGGAACTGCATCTTGTTAACCAGCTTTTCTGTATTGATTTATCTTATTTAGAAAAGGAGCTCCATTTCCTTAACAACCAGGGGAGGCACACCAAAAATACTATAAAAGCAGTCATAATCGTAAACATTTTGTTAAAGTAAGGCTATATAACACGTTAAAGACTAGAACAGAAAACTTTAAAGCTCCAGATCAGGGAAGCTCCCTGAAAAGCATTCAGGAAAACCTTCCTTATCTGTATGGGTGGTCCTCAACTTACAACAGTTCACTTAGCAACCGTTCCGAGTTACAACAGTACTGGGAAAAGCGACTTATGACAGTTTCTCACACTTAACGACCGTTGCAGCTTCCCGAGGGGTCACGTGACCGAAATCCGGATACTTGGCAACTGAATCATTATTTATGATGGTCACAGTGTCCCGGGGTCATGTGATCCCCTTTTGCGACCTTATGAGAAGCAATGAGGAAGCCAGATTCACTTAACAACTGGGTTGCTAACTGGGTTACTAAGTGAATCACTGCAGGTCGTAAGGTCATAAACTGTAGCAAAACTCATTAAACAAATGTCCCACTTAGCAACATAAATTTTGGGCCCAGTTGTGGTCGTAAGTCAAGGACTACTTGTAAATCTGTGGTTACAACCATTTTGCACATCTGAGGTTCTGGACCTCCAACTGACTGGAGGCGTGCAAACTGGATTTGCCCCCCCCCCGCCCAGACCCCCAAGGTCTGGCTTCCTAGGATGCATCTAAGTGTTGAGGATGGACTTTGTAGTACTAACAACATGGACCTTATAGCACTGTTGTACTTGCTAACTAACATAGTGATTTTGTATTTTAATTTGACTTATTTTTCTCTCTTTTTAAAGCAGACATGTCAAACACAAGGCCCGGGGGCCGGATGCGGCCCACAAAGTGGTTTCATGTGGCCCGTGAAGCCATCCTGGAAACAGTGAGGGAACGGCCCCCGCTGCCTTGGACCTGGCCCAGGCCGGCCGGGAGCCAATGTACAATTTTGTGGTGGCCATCTATGCTGAAAGGCATTCAGTCTTAGCTCCACAAGGTCGTCTGGAAACAGCGAGGAACCAACCTCTGCTGCGTCGGCTCTGCCCCCTGGGTGCATGCTGGGGAGGTGTCACCTTTGTGAGGAATGAAGAAATGCACCATGCCTGGGCGCCTGCCCTGGTCCCACCCCCTTCTGCCAGAGACCCTCAAATCTGTCCCACTCCTGCCCAGGCCCCCACAGGCACCCTTGACGTGAATGATGTAGAGCTGGCCATGCCCACCCAGTAGGCCCCACCCACTCCATCCACCCCCACCCAGTAGGTCACACACCCTCTGCCCCCCCCCCCAAGGCAACCGCAATGCTGATGCCCACCCCCTTCTGCCAGAGACCCTCAAATCTGTCCCACTCCTGCCCAGGCCCCCACAGGCACCCTTGACGTGAACGATGTAGAGCTGGCCATGCCCACCCAGTAGGCCCCACCCACTCCATCCACCCCCACCCAGTAGGTCACACACCCCCTGCCCCCCCCCAAGGCAACCGCAATGCTGATGAGGCCCTCAATGAAATTGAGTTTGACACCCCTGTTTTAAAGGATGTTAATGGTTTATCCAGCCATTGCCGACACGAATGTAGAATGGATGGGTTGATAAGTTCTAACATTCTTAAACTGAAAAGATAAAAAGTTGTTTTGTTCCCCAGGTCAGGATAGGAGGAGACTGGGTTTGTTTTAATAAGATGTCTGGAGTGTATCTTCTGAGAAGAGAAGCTTGTTAGAGCTAATTGGTACCTGGTTTGTCTCTCCAAACAACTGTGTGATTCCTCCCCCCCTTAACATCTTACATTTTACGCCCCTGCTTTCGTCAGACTTCATTTAAACGAATGCGCACGTGTTGCTACATGTAATATGTTTGACTCCAGGTAACTGATTTCCTACGCAAAGGGGAAGTTACTTTTGTCCTGTCCAATCAATGTTATTCTTTTAGTTCCCCTTTGATGTCTTGACTATAAAAGAGAATGAAAGCCGAGGATCTGTCTGAATGAGAGAAATTCTTTTTCATCAGAATGTTCTGAATAAATGGTAATAAAATGATTTTCCTGTCTCGTTGGAAAATATGTGTCCCGAGGCACGAGCCTAGAAACCGCATTTTGGCCCTCAGTATGAAATGAGCCCCCTTGGCAGGACCAGGTTTGTCCCCTGCCCCCACCCCCTCCCCAGTCTGGGGTTCAAGGCTCAAGGCCCAGATGGCTGGAATGGAGGCCAGACCAAGCCCCAAAGGATTTGCATCAGGAACTTCTCTCCTTGTTCCCACCGGATGCTGGTTTGTGATCTTGGCTTATTCTCCTTCGTCCATCCGAAGACCGACTTACATGACGGTGATGTTGAAGGTGTCGGGAATGTAGGTAGGGCTGGGCAGGTGCCAGCTGCAGTAGAAGCCGATGGGGTAGTTGTTGGACCGGCACATCAAACTGGGCTCCCGGGGCGGTGCTGTGGGGGGGGGGAGAGAGAGAGAGAGACAGAGACAGAGAGAATGAGAGACACAGAGAGAATGAGAATGAGAGAAAGAGAAAAAAGAATGAGAATGAGAGAGAGAAAATGAGAGAATGAGAAAGAAAGAGAATGAGAGAAAGACAGAGAAAGAGAATAAGAGACAGAGAGAAAAAGAGAGAATGAAGAGAATGAGAGAGAAAATGAGAGAATGAGAAAGAAAAAAGAAAGAATGAGAGAGAATGAGAGAGAGAGAAAGAAAATGAGAAAATGAGAGACAGAATGAGAGACAGAGAGAGAGTGAGAGAGAGAAAAAGAGAAAATGAGAGAGAAGAGAATGAGAGAAAATGAGAGAATGAGAAAGGAGAGAATGAGAGAGAGAAAAAAGGAGAAAATAAGAGAAAGAAGAAAAGGAGAGAAAATGAGGGAATGAGAAAGGAAAAGAGAGAGAGAGAGAGAGAGAGAGAGAGAGAGAGAGAGAGAGAGGTCAAATTTCCACGCTCTGCTGGCTGCAACTGAGAATATTTTCATTCCCTTCCAAGAAGCAATACAACTGACCATCTGCTGCTTGCCTTGTGATTGGGGTTGGGCTGGCTGATAGAAGAGAATGTTTGGGTTGAAGCGTAACAGCCACCATGTAGGACAGGCAGGCGGAAGACTAGCAGAACATATCCATTTTTATTTATTATTAAATCTATGTTCTGCCCATCTCGTTTCTATGTGACTCTGGGTGGCTTACAGCATAAAAAAAACATCAAAATCATCAAATATAAATAGATACCCAATGAAAGCACAAGGAGAATAAGTATTTCATGGTATCCATGAACACCAACTAGCGATCCAAAGACTTCTTCGTTGCACAGGAGAAGGACCGACTCAACCATAGTTTCAACTGGGAAACCGTGAGCATCCTAGATCAAGCTAATTCCAAAATGCTAGGGAATTTCTGGAAGCCTGGCATTTCCAGGCAACTCAGCTATCAATAGACACAAAGAAATAAATAGAGATTAGACACCGTTCAAAAGAGACAATAAAAAAAAGCTAAGAAGCAAACAAAAGGATCAGAATATATCCTGTCTGGCAGCCAAAACCCAGATAAACAGGGATTAAGACTAGACAAACAATCAAGCAGAAAACAATAAGCCAATCAAGGAACTACCAGCTCAGATAAATAATCAAACAATAAACAACAGCTTAATCAAGGAACCACCAAGAAGAAAACAAAAAACTCTCACCGACACTGACAAGGCAAGCCACTATAACTAAATAGAAAGCTCACTTCGAGCACTGATGATGTTCCCTAGTCAGGTAATGAAACGTCTGCAAGAAAACAGCCAAGCTCAGAGAGCACCAAGGACCCCACAATCCTTCTTGTCCTCCTCTTCCTCCTCCTTCTCTCCATAAACCCCACTCCCTTCTAGCACTGATGACATTCCCTAGTCAAGTAATGAAACATCTACAAGAAAACCGCCAAGCTGAGAGAGCACCAAGGACTCCACCTGGGGCTCAGTTAAGGTGGCCGAGTCTTCCCAAGTGTGGGAAGTCAGCCCCCCACCTGAGAAGGAAATATTAAAAGGGCAGAAAAATATATTTCCTAAAAAGATATTAAAGAGACAGAAAAGCACGCCCAGTTTTTCTTAATAGCCCCAAGTCTGCCTCCCCCAAGCAGAAGCCAGCTCTGTACAAATGCAGATGTAAACCATCAGGAAAGTTGGAGCTAGAAGCTTAGGAAGACAAAGACACCTAAAATCTGCATACCACACCCAAACTCTAAGAGTCATTAGCCCCAGCACTAGGGAAGCAGGATATGACCTTTGGGACATAATATGATTAACTCAGGTCAAAATACATGACACAGGAAATACAAAGCCTCAAACAAGAACAGGAAATAATCTCCAAACAAAAGGCTCCAGAGGGTATAAAAATCTACTCCCCACATGTGCTCAGCCCTTTTTCTCTCCTTTTTTTCTGCCAGAACCATCTTCTCCTCTCCAATAAACTGCAACCTTCTTTCTGAAGCAGTCACCATGTTGTTCATCCCCGGCTTGGACTGAACCACGATGAAGACTTTTCTTCCAACAAGAGAGCAGAAGATGCTATTTCCCCCAAAAGATGAGAGCTTCTTTTGTGGGGGGAGGGTCCTACATTAAGTTATTTCACATAGCAATTCTTAATCTAAGTCGCAAGCCACAGCATACTCTGCTCACACAGTCATCCACCTGATGGCTTCATATGACCCCCACTAGTTAGGAGAATGAATGCCTTCCTACCACAGGCTGAACCACAAACCATCTCCAATAATTACAAGCCTAGATCAAGAAGTCAAGTGTGCATCATGCAGTCCTTCTCACGCCTGGCTACAGCAAGGGGGGGCAGTGCCCTCATTGAGACCCAGGTCTTGTCCTTTCAGGTCAAGCTCAATTGTGCTCATAAATCACAGAACACAGAATAATGGAGTTGGAAGGTACCTTGGAGGTCTTCTAGTCCAACCTCCTGCTTGAGCTGGAGACCCAGCCTATACCATTTCAGAGAAGTGATTGTCCAGTCTCTTTTTGAAAGTCTCCAGTGTTGGGGCACCCACAACTTCTGAAGGCAAGCTGTTCCACTGGTTGATTGTTCTCACTCTTAGGAAGTTTCTCCTTAATTCCAGGTTGCTTCTCTCCCTGATTAGTTTTGTCTTGTCTTTTGGTGCTTTGGAAAGTAGTTTGACCCCCTTTGTCTTTGTAGGAGTCCCTCAAACATTGGAAGACTGCTATCATCTCACCAGCTCGAGGTTGACTCAGCGTTCCATCCTTTTGAGGTCGGTCAAATGAGGATCCAGATTGTTGGGGGCAAGAGGCTGACTCTGTAAACTGCCTAGAGGGGGCTGTAAAGCACTGTGAAGCAATATATAAGTCTAAGTGCTAATGCTATTGCTATCATGTCTCCCCTAGTCAAATATTGGAAGATGCTAACATGTCACCCCAGGTCCTTCTCTTCGTAAAACTAGACATACCCAATTCCTGCAACCGTTCTTCCTATGTTTCAGCCGCCTGCCTCCTAGGCATCTTTGTTGCTCTTCTCTGCACTTTTTCCAGTGTTTGAATATCTTTTTTGTAATGTGCTGACCAAAACTGGATGCAGTATCCCAAGTGTGGCCTTACTAAGGCTTGGTAAAGCGCTACTAGAACTTCATGTGATCTTGATGCTATCCCTCTGTAAATGCAGCCTAGGACTGCATTGGCTTTTTGGGCTGCTGCTGCTGCACATGGCTGGCTCGTGTTTAAGGGACTCCAAATTGAGGACTACCTTCATGGTGTCAGAAGTAAGTCTTCATCCTGGTTCATCCAAGCCGGGAATAAATAAGCAACATGGCGACTGCTTTGGGAAGATGGTTGCAGTTTATTGAAGAAGCAGAAAGATGGTTCTTGCGGGAAAGAGCAGAGGAGAGAGAAGGGCTGAGCACATGGGCAAGGGGTTTTTTATACCCCCTCTAGCCTTTTGTTTGGAAGTTTCCTATTCCTGTGGCATGAACTTTGAGGCTATTTCCTGTGTCACGTATTCTGACCTGAGCCTAGGGGTGCCTCTCTGGTATACTTGATGGTATTGGGGAGGACAGTCCTCCTTTTGTAAGTTCTGTCCTCCCTTGAAATGTGTCCTCCTACATGTCCTCCTTTTCGATATTTGAAGACTAATCTGCAGGGCTTTTTTTTCTCATAGAACTCTCAGAACGGCGTTCCGGCACCTTTTTTTGATGATTTTTTTTTTCAACTTTTGCATGAGCTGTGCTACTCCCTCTATTGGCTTTCGAAAGCCAATAGGAATTGCTGCTGAGAGCAATTTTATTTACAATATTTTTTCTTCAATTTATTTGTGTCTTCCTTTTCATTGTAAAAAAGTTGGTCACCTTAGTAATGGGTTAGTCCTATTATGTGCCAAAAGTCATATCCTGCTTCCCTGGTGATGGGGCTAATGACTCCTAGAGTTTGGGTGGGGTATGCAGATTTTAAGTCCCTTTGTCTTTTGAGTTCCCTGGCTCCAGATGGTTTTACATCTGCATTTGTATAGGGCTGGCTCCTGCTTGGGGCAAAGGGATGAGGCCAGGGTTGGTTTTTGGTTTTAAAAATCCTTTTGAGGAAAAATATATTTTCCTGCCCTTTTAATATTTCCTTCTCTGGGCTAACTTCCCTCAGTGGCATGGAGGTCTGCTGCTGGCCTCCTTTATGTCCGGCTACTCTATTATCAAATGGAGTTAACCATCCCCGAATCTCTGCTTCTCTTCCTTCTTTTTGGTGCAGTTATTTCCTTTATATGTTTATCAGTGCAGTGATGCTCTGGCCAGGAAGGACCGAGAACTTCAATTTAGTCCTAATGTCATTCTCTGTCACCCTTCCAGTCCCCTTCAATTAGAATTATAAATCGTCTCTCTCCTATCTTTCTTTCCTTGTAAAATACCTTAATTTCTCCTCCGTATTAAATTTGGCTTTATGCAAACAGAAGCCGCTGGCAGCAGACAGCTCGATCTCTGCATGAATGTAACCCTGACATTTGGCCAAGTGGATAATAACAAACGGTGTTTAATTTTTAGCGCCCTTCCTGGGTTATTCATCCATCGTGACACGGAGACAGGAATCCCTGCAAGCAAGCTTGTTCAATTTCCAAGCCATTAACGATTCCATTAATCGTCTGTCAATTCTACGGTCCAATCTATGCAATTAGTAGACTAATATTAAGGGGGTGATCATCATTTCTGTTTATCTAACTGACATTGGCCAATCTTTGCACGGAAGAAAAAAATGTCACTTCTCTCCAGCCCTCAAACCAGACAGAGTCTCTGATCTGGCAAATCCTGCCTGTGCCAAGGCAATATTTTAAAAATGGAATATTAGAGTTGGAAGGGACCTTGGAGGTCTTCTAGTCCAACCCCTGGCTCAAGCAGGAGACCCCATATCAGGGGTGTCAAACTGCCAGCCCGCGGGCCGGACGCGTCACGAGAAAACTGCGCCCATCCCATTGCTGGC